TTAATCACTGGTGGTGAACAGAGAAAATATAGCCTTAGCGTCAAGCTGTTCCTAAGAGATATCAAGGCTTCTCTAGTGAGCACAGGGATTTTTTTTTTAAATCTTGCCTCTAAACCGCACATATCCTTAATAGGTAAGTTAACCTATAATAAGCATTCCCAGGTTTCTTGGCAAAAAACAATGTATAAAGAATGGTTCCATTTCACTATGTATGTTAGTGTATGCTAGGGGAAAGGCAAGAGAGATGTTAAATTCAAAGAATACAGGATTACTGTCTAGAAGGAATTTATAATTTAGCATTTGCCTGAACCTCCCATATCCTTTATTAACATATCACTTTAGTTCCCCTTTCTTTTTGCCCCACAAAAATCATAGTTTCTTTATTTTCATATCTCTTGAATATCATTATTTCTCTGTCTTATATATGTTACCCCAACTTAATTTCTTTTGCAGAAGAATAGCTATTTTTGGCCTAATTTTGATACCGTTGTAATTAGCTTGTTATTAAGGACAGGAAAGGAGCAAAGGGAAGGCCAGACATTATAGACATGTTCCCTGCAAAACACTGGGGGAAAGGAACTGGACAAAGGGAAGACAGACAGATGCCCAGTAAAGTCGAGATGACATAGGGAAGATACTTGCCTGTCAATTACACCTGGGGACAGAGATGGCTGGCCAGAATGGATGTGGCCACTGCAAGCATGGAAATTTGGGATACCTAACCCCCTAAACAAAGGAGTTCCCTCGCTTGGCTCTCTTGGGACTCGTGGGACTCGGGCTTGTGGGGCTTTTGCTCCTGCTTTCCCTGCATTCACTTACATGACCCACAGTCGTGTGCACCCCACACACAATGGACCAGTGGACTGTAACTAGCCTGATGCTGTACTGGACCGAGATCCAGCAAGGAAGGAAACTCTGGACACTGGCTTTGCTTCTAGCTTTACTGAAACCCAGCTACACTTCTTCTATGACAGCACTAAGGGAAATGGGACTTTGGAAACCCGGGGCTGTGATTACATGGAAAGAAAGCTTTCTACTGTACCTCATTGCCCTGGGGGGGCCTCCAGAAATGCTTATCCAGCTGCACCCCAAGAACCCGACTTCCACTGACATCAATTCCATATACTTTCTCCTCTCAAAACTACCTTCTTGCCCTCAGTACCCTCACCCAGCTTTCTTTCCTAATTTTTACCAATCAACCATTATCTTTCAATTTAGATACATTCAAGAGGAGATATGATATCTAACTAAAGATAAGTAACACACAAATTTAGTTGTATAAAGTGCCATATGAAATGGCAATGGCAATAACTAGACAAAAATTGAGAGAAGGTAACTTTCTAGCAACAAACAATGTTCAGTAAATTTTGGAGTTAAAGTTTTGTATAAACTTTTGTTATTTTAAGTAAGAGCCATTTAATGAATTTGGTTTGTGAAAGTGTTAACTGCTGAGAAATTAAAAATATCAATGTCTGTATAACATTTCAAAGAGATTATTTCCATTGAAATCTATTGATTGAGGGTTATAAAGAGAAAACTTTACTACTCCGGCTGGTTAGAGTTAAAAATCGTAAAAAAATAAGTTTATTTGCAAGTTATTTGACCTTTCCTGGAAACATCAATCTACTTCAGCTCCCTGAAATATATCCCACCAGGCATCACCATGAGCCAAAAACCATGTCAGCGTGTGGCAGTCTGGCTGCCAGGTGACGTGTACATTTGTCCAAAGGGCCAGAAAACACCTGGTGGGGACAAACAGGCTACTGATAAGAGCAGAACAACTGAGAGCTGTGGAACTGCCACAGTAAATAAAACACCGCTGCTGGAATACAGGAATCAGAGCTCCGGCCGAGAAATTTCATCATTTCTTTTTATTCTTTTTCTCACAGGTAGGTGTTCATAGGAAAAACACACACACAAGTCAGACTGATACAACTCTGAGGCAGACAAATGCGTTCCCCTGGACTTACGAGAGGGAAAAGAGAGAAAACAGGTGGGTAGATGGATGCACAGAAAGGGGTGCGGGTGCAGGCGCGGAAGGGGAAGTACATCTGTACACAGACAGAACTAGCGCATGTGGTGAACGGTGAGGTGTGTGGCCAATAGGAAATAACTATGTTTTAAGTTTAACACTAAACAAGGTCTTAGAAACTAACGGCTTGACAGTGTTCCTCGGCTATTGAATTATGAACCAAGACTCTCAGGGGACCCAGAACTAAAAAGCTGGGAACACCAAGCACTATGGGTTCATGTGAGTTGGCCTATTCTGGGAAAACTGAAAATGGCTAATTTATGAGGACTTTAACGTATTAGAAGAATGACCATTGTATAAGAGGGCAGGGGAAAATTCTGCTTTGATAATTTGACAGTTGAAAATGAACATCCATTTCCCCTAATTCAATCTTGGTTTCCTTTAGCTAAATGTTTCCTTTCTTTACCACCCTTTTACACACCAAATGGAAGGGCTGTTTAGAGCTAACTCACTGGTCCTAAACATAAAGGGAGCTGAACAAAAAGATCTTTCTCACTGGCACGGAAAATCTTCAAGGTAGCCATGAAATGCTCCCAGCAGTGAGCTGAGCATGGCTGATGTATCTGATGGAGAGAGGAGCCTGACTGGAGAGACAGGGCAGGACCTGAGCTCCACAAAGGCTGTCCCCGCGAGGCTCAGCATCAAAAGGCTCTAAACTTTGAACCGTTGGGGTCCGTTGCTATTTCTACATCAAAACCATTAGAGAATAAAGCAGATCTGGAGAAACACTGGCTAAGAAAGCCTCAGAAACCACAGGAAACAGAAACAGAGGCTAGTGAATTCCTCAAGAAAAGAGAAGAATATTCCTCAAGAAAGAATATATATTTCAACTATGTGGAGAGAAAGCTGAGTTGGGATCTCAAGTCCCCAACCAGGTAGCCACCTCGACTGTCACCTCAGTTTGAGTGCTTGGCAAGATCAGGGGCAGGTACCAGAACTCTCACCAGCAAGATATGTACTCAGATATGCACGTGGGGTAAGGGTCTCACTTTCCTCCTTGTATCATCTCGATTCATGGGACAAAAGTAAATGAGTATTAAAAATGGAAACCAATAAAATGAAGGGGCACAAAGAAATCAATAATTTGCCTCTCCTACAATGGCTTTTCTCATATTCCAAGATTGTTTTCAAAAGGCAATAACGGGAAAAATCACTCCCCAACCTGTAGCAGTCATTTCACCTACTTAACAGTGTTTTTTAAGCTGCAGGTCACAAGGTATTAGGTCATAGCACCAATTTAGTGGTTGCTACCATCATTTTTCAAAATGAAGTCAAACAGACTAGAAAGGAAAATATCAGTGTGTTTTGCAAGAAGTATTATTCCATGAAACTTTATTTCAAATGTATGTGTATATATGTACTGGGTCCTGTTATAAAATGTTATTTCTTACAGTGATTTTTTAAATATAAAAAAGTATGAATACCACTGAGCTGCCGAAAAGTGGAAGGACCCGGACCAGGGCAGTATGCTACAGTCAGATTGTGTATGAATCAAATACTGTGGCTGTGAAGAAGCCCATGGGTCACTGAGGAGCCTCAGTCAATACAGAACAATTACTCTCAGAGTCATCCAAGAACTCTTACAGTGTGCCTGAGCTAAAGTGCAAGCTCTAGGTGTGAAAACAGGAAAGTCACCACGGAAACTGACCTGAGAGAAAATGCTTTTATCAAGATAAAATAAATCTGGACTCCAGAAAGAAATGATAATTTCTACTTCTAGAATGTCATAGACCATGGCCACAACCAAAGGACTCATTCATTGACTGGGAGATCAAGCCTTTTAGAACAAGGGTAGGTGAAGAGGTTATGAGAAAAAAGAAACCACTCTCCTAGTCCTGCCAAGCTAGCCCTTCCTTCCTGGCACATCTAACCAGGTGATGGACTCTACACGCTGAGAGTGCTGCATTCTTTAATTCCTACCCACTCCTGACCCCTGGCATAGTCACATCCTTTCCTGAGCCCCATTCAGTCTAGTCAAATAGCGCAGTCCCAGCTACACAGCAGGAAAGGAAGCCTAGCACAGAGACGAGTCCTCCCTAAGTGGAGACAGGAATGCCAGACAGGCCATGTGATCTCTTAGGATATGACACAAGACCTGTGCTCTCTTTGGGAGTTTACTTCAAAAGAGAAAGAAAATGATATTCTTCAGGTGCCAGGATCTCCAGATCTCATAACATTCAGCCAGATCTGTCCTCACATTCCCAAATTCCTTAGAAAGCAGGAAACACAATCTGTCCCACTTAGCAAGTAACGGCTAAGCCTAAGGAAATACAAAATTCTTCACTTGTCTCAGCTCTAATAAGAACATGCCCTGGCCAGTGTGGTTCGATTGGCTCAACATCACCCCGGGCACCAAAAGGCTGCCAGTTCAATTCCAGGTCAGGGCACATGCCTGGGTTTTGGGCTCAATCCCCGGTGGGGGGCATGCAGGAGGCAGACAATCAATGGTTCGCTCTCACATCAATGTTTCTCTCTCTCTCTCTCTCCCTCTCCCTTCCTTTCTCTCTCTCAAAAACAAAAATCAATTAAAAAATATATATATATTTCAAAAAAAGAAAAGAACATTAATTATCCATCATCTTATTGTTTCTTTTAGAAAAAGGGATGGCTAGAAACAATCCTAGCAATTCCTTCCTGCTAAGAAAGAAAAAAGGATTTCTAACCCTGATCATACTTATTCTGAAAAGCATATTGAGATGCAAATATCACATTCCTTCTATTTTAGGAAGGGAGACAGGAGGCAGGGAGACGAGCCAATTGCTCAGGACCTTGCAGCACTGGTAGCAGAGGCAGGGATGGGCACTGCTATTCCCTTGTCTGTTTTCAACTTCCCAGACTATGTTCCTTTAACTCCACCAGCTGATGCCCAGAACTGAGGGTATATATTGCCAAATTACTTTCTGAGAAAGTTCAAATACAAGAAAAACTGGCATATGTGTGTACAATTGTATAAGTATGAGATCGGTACCTGTAAGAGAGCATGGTGCATCGTCACCTCCAGTTCGGCTAACACATGGGCAGCATCCTCACTGTCCTCTTGGACCTCCAGGTCCTCCTCAGGTATGGTCTCCCAGGTGCCCTGGTGAGCGACCAGAGTGTGGACTAGTTCATACTGGCCGGGGAGCGCCAGGCTGACCCGAGTCTGAGTCCCATAGGTGAAGCGGAGGCGCCGAAGCTTACAGCTCTCCTCACTGCCCAGCTTGGTGGCGGGAAGCACCTGCGCCCCCAAGAGCAGGTTCAATAGCTGGCACTTGGCATTACAATCCTGGCCGAGGATCAAGATGCAGGGGAGGCAGTCCACCATCTGCTGCAGGGACTTCTCTTCCTTGGGTGGGAAGGAAATGCAGCTCAGCTGGCCTGGTTGGGGAAGGGGAGGAGGGAGAGGAGTGAGGGGGTGGAGAGAGACTCGCCCAGAGACCCCATCAGGGGGCCAGGGCCCCAGAGAAGAAATTCCTAGGAAGCTCTTGGTGGAAGGAGATATCAGGAGAACATCCCAGTCAGAAAAGGCTCCTCAAACATCAGACAGAACTCCCCTCCCTGGCTCATCCCCAAAGCAGTAGTTTCTATCTGGAAAGTTGGCCCGACCTGATCTACCCTCCACCCTCCTTTATCATCCAGTCGAAGGACAGTTGGGAGTTTACAAGGACTTTATCACAATTACAAGGTCAATAAATTGACAAAGCCACCAACTGAGATGTGAGTCCAAGGAGAAACCATACCTGAAAATGTCAAAATGAAAGCCTTCCATGTGACAGGAGATCTAATACTTGAACATACTCTGCCTTTTTAAATGTCACTACCACATGAAGTTTTAGCTTGTTATTTTCCTTGTATGACATATTTTATAACTAAACGTATGAGCTAATCCCTAAATACACATATATTGAAATAAAAAGTTATTCAAGTTTACAGAAGCTCTAGAATCTTTTCTGGCTCATCTCTCTCAGAGCTGGAGACAGCACCCCCACTGCAAAGTCCTCTGTTTTCTTAAAGCACCAGGCATTCAATTACGATCAATTATCTCCTAATCAAATCACATTCCTTCAGTTTAGGGAGAGGGGAAGAACTGCCTGTTAGGATAAAATCCAGGCAAATCTGAGATGTGATCTATCTCAAAAGCATTCTTTCAGAAAAACCACGCTTCCACAAACAAGTCCAATTGTATCCAAGAGAGAGCAAAAAGCTTCCTAAAGCATGAAAACCTCTGAGAAAAGGAACCAGAAATAGTTGACTGAAACTCAGATTCTGAACTCAATCGTCCCCCCACTTGTTCAGCGCCTGTGCCTGCCTGTGTCTATAATTCAGGCAACCCTTGCGTCTGTTCAGAAAGGCAGGCTCATGGTTCTTAGGCTGTATAACAAGGCTGATCTTACACACATCTTAACTGAAATTTGGGGTGGCACCAACTGAAACAGTATTCGCTTTAGTCACTTAACCATGAGCTGCATCAAACCATCCGTACCATGTTTATTTTGTTCCTATTAATGAAGCGAGAGCCCAGACTCATTTAAGAGGTTGCTCAACTTTAAACTGTACCTATTCTGCCATAAACTTACTATTTCGAATCCTCAAACCTCAATCTCTTCCACAAACGGCGCCACCAAAAGGTTTACAGTAGTCTTTCACCCAGACCCCTCTATGCATTTCGTGGAGCCCTTCCTTTCAGGCCTGTCTACAAGCGCATCACCCGGCCTGCACATGCACATCGGCAACACCAGACACTGAAACAAGAAAAGCGATGCTCCTGGGGAAGAGATGGGTTCCCTTGAAAAAGCAAAGAACGTTAACTGAGTGCCTAATTCTGTGTAAGGTATTTACTAAGCACAAGAGTAAAACACCAGACCACTAGTCTAACTTTGACCTACAATCAAAAGCAATGGGACACAGCCGATTTCTTGTATCACCGCTTAGCAAGCAGCAATAGGCTTGTCCTAAGTCCCTGCATATCTCGTTCACAACTAAACACTTGTCACAGTCTGTTCTAGTTACCTGTTTATAATGATCGAAACACCCAACACGACGACTAAAACAGTAAGGACTTTATGTTACACACTTGTTTGCCCTGTGCAAGAATACATTTACTGCCCAGCCGGGTGTGGCTCAGCGGTTGAGCGTCGACCTAGGATCCAGGCGATCCGGGTTTGATTCCCGGTCAGGGCACATGCCCGGGTTGCGGGCTCAATCAATGACTCTCTCATCATTGATGTTTCTATCTCTCTCTCTCCCTCTCCTTTCCTCTCTCTGAAATCAATAAAGATATATTAAAAAAAAAAAAAAAGAATACATTTATTGTGGAGAATTGTCTATGGAAAGTTATAAGTGGTTCCACTAAGGACTGAGAAAAGTCCAGAACCATGATGAATCACTTAGGAGCAATGATCATTCCTAAAAGTGCCCTTCATCTCAACATGGAGAGTAGAGGTGGACAGCGTAACAGGAGGTGTACAACGCCCCAATCACCTTGCAGAATTTACCTTACTCTCAGCCTGAGCAGTGAGAAGTCCACCTCGATTCAGTCTCTCTCTCTCTTTTTTTTTTTGTTTATCTTTATTGGTTTCAGAGAAAGGAAGGGTGAGGGAGAGAGAAAGACAGAAGCATCAATGATGAGAGAGTCATTGATTGGCTGCCTCCTGCACGCCCCCTGCTGGGGATCAAGCCCACAACCCAGGCATGTGGCCTGACGGGGAATCAAACCCCGATCTCCTGGATCCTAGGTCGATGCTCAACTGCTGAGCCATGCCCGGCCAGCAACTCTTTTTTTTTTAATCCTCACCCAAGGATATTTTTTCCATTGCTTTTCAGAGAGAGTAGAAAGGGGAGAGAGAGAGAGAGAGACATCAAACAGGGACCGGGGATCAAGCCTGCAACCGAGGTAGGTGCCCTTGGCTGGAACTGAACCTGGGAACCTTCAGTCCGAAGTCTGATGCTCTAACCACTGAGCAACTGGCTAAAGCTAGATTCATTCTTGTCTACACTTCCTATCTTTCCTCTTTTCCCAGACCCCCTCAAATCCTCAGATAGGTGTAACTTCATTCTGACAAATTTCATCACTCCTGAAACAAAAGTTGGGACATAATAAAAACAACCTGAACGAGCTCTGTTACTGCGGCGGCCAGGAGAGTGGGTAATAGATAATGAAAGCCAACCAACCACTTTCGGCACCAGAGGGAGAGATCGCAACATCTCTGAGGCAATGTCAACATGCTCTGCATGAGCCAGAATCCATAGCAGACACACCCCATTTTTCATCTGACCCAAATTATCACACACACCCCCATCTCTGTAGTGACAAAAAGTCACTACAAATAAGCCTGCTAGTGTCAAACAACACAGAGCAGGGCAATGGGAGGGGCTGACACTGAGCCCAGTTTTGCGTTTTGTTTCCATGCACCGCTCGGGTTCCATGTGCAACCAGTCGCACTGAAGAAAGCTCTTACATGGACACCGCCGTCAGTTCTTCAATACCTCATTTCCCAAGCCCTTTGCTTCTTCCACAAATCTTTAGCTTTATTGATCTGCAACATGTCTACAAGATTTGAGCAAGGGCATGGAGAGAAATGAGGGTGAAAGTAGACAGTTCCACTCCTTGCTCCTCTCAGCAAACTGTTCATGGTTCAGTGAGGGGAGCAGCATCGACGCGGAAACGGCACTAGAGGGGGGGAGATATCCTGATCCCCGGCCTCGCCGCTGATTAGCTCTGTGACTTTGGCAACTCGCTTGACTTTCCTCAGCCCTGGATTTCTCATCTCTCAACGAAGGGAGTTGGATTAGATCATCTTTAACATCCTTTCCAGTTCTAAAATTCCAGGATTCCATCAGGTTTTAACTGTTGAAGGAAAAATAATTGAGGGGATGGGTGGCTGGCCTGGTTGTTTTCATCTTAAGTTATGTGTGAGTTTAATTATGCAAGCTCTCCCTGGGCTACTACTGTAACTGCAGATCAAAAAAGTGAGTGAACTAGCCAGGGGCTCTGAGGACCACAGTGCAGTGTTAGCAGTTCTCAAAAGAAGAGATGAAAAACTGTAGACTGACAGGGGAAGGAAGGAAGAAAACCTGCTTCAGAGCTGGAGCAGCTGCCCCACTGACAGTTAAAGGACTTCTGAGTTAATCGGGTTTTCTTAGTAATTAATATAACAGCATCTGCATATGGGCTGCCAGAAGGTAACAGTAGGGCTTCTCAGCTGCAGCACATTAACCCTGCCAACTCTGGCTGCAGAAAAAGTCAACTCCAATTGAAGTGCAAGCTACTAAGGCTTTTTCTTCTCTCAATGGTTCCTAAATATAGATTATCTTGATTGCGATTAGAGCTGGCCCTTGAACAGTGTGTGTGGGGGGGGGGAGGATAGGGGCTCCAACAACCTGCACAGTAGAAAATCCCTCTGTAATTTAAGTCAGCCCTCTGCATGTGCGGATTCCCACCTGCCAGCTGACCCTTGGACAACATGGGTTTGAACTGTGCAGGTCAACTGACCCACTCAGTTCGATTGAAAAAAAAACCCCGTAAAAGTGGACCCAAGCAGTGCAAACCCACGTTGTTCAAGGGTCAACTGTACTTCTGAACAAAGGTTTCAAACTACAAGGGTAAGAGCAACTAAAGTAGCAACCTATTTTGTTTTAGATAATGAAGGGGAGCAAAATATACCACCCCAAAATATGCCTCTGGCATATCATTTTAAGCTGGTTACTTTTAAGAAACGACAGAGGTGAAGCTCTGAAAACTGAGCAGAATTATGCTTTTGTAAGAAACATTTATAAGGGAGACCTCTATTTGTAAGGGTGTCTTCCTCCCAGTACCAGGAAAAGGGTGACTAACTCTCTCGAAACGCTTATCAATGAGGAAGGGAAAGTCTGAAATCTGCATTAACAACCTTACCCTGTTTACTGTGCGTTTCCTGGTAACCTCACATAGTCATGCCCCCAACATCTGTCTTTAGCTGGAGATGATATTTAAAGTGGTAACTTGGGCCATTTCAGAGTTACTCAGTTTTCCATGCAGAAACAAGGAAACTCAGAACTGCAATCTCCAGGCCCCGCCAAGCTTCCCCCAGACCACTACACCTACCCATGCTCTTTGTAGTTAACAGTAGTGATAGTTCTCCTCCTGGACCAGGCCCTCTGTTTAAATTCTTTTAGGCAGTTCAGGGGTAGGTTAAAAAAAAAAAAAAAAAAAAGCCCTAAGTCGTTAGACCTTCATTGTCTTAAGCTCAAAATAGTCCACATGCCAAAGTTCCACATTCTGGGGACACTTGTTCTGAACCACTTCACCAGGTTATTACTTAGCATAAGCAAATGCCCCTGAAAGGGTGGCAGAACATGCCATCCCAAAATATGCCACTTTAGCATAAGGATTATTTTGAGCTAAAGGAACTTGATACACAGCAGGTATAAGAAGGGCACTCTGACCTCCCCTTTTTCTTCCTGAGAGGAGATAAAAACCCCATCTGGAAGGTGTCCTCCCTGTACCAGAAGGAAAGCAACATCCTATCACCAGAGACCAGGAGTCGAGGCCA